AGAAAGAAGGAAAAGATCAAAACGGATGTCACAAGAGACTCTGAAACTTGCTCTACAGCATAGAGATGCTAAAGCAAATGGAAGAAATGAGGAGGTACAAGAGCTGAACATAATATTTCAAAGGTCAGCTCGAGAAGACAAAGTCAAATATTACAGTGAAATGTCCAAAGATGTGAGTTAGAAAACCAAAAGAGAAGAACACGCTCAGCATTTCTCAAGCTGAGGGAACTGAAGGAAAAATTCAAGCCTCGAGTTGCAATACTGAAGGATTCCCTGGGCAAAATATTGAATGATGCAGAAAGCATCAAAAGATGATGGAAGGAATATCCAGAGTCACTGTACCAAAAGGAAATGGTCGATGTTCAACCGTTTCAAGAGGTAGCATATGATCAAGAGCCAATGATACTCAAGAGAGAAGTCCAAAGTACATTGAAGGAATTGACAAAGAACAAGACACTGGGAATTGATGGAATACAAGTTGAAATTTTTCAACAAAGTGAGGTGGCACTAGAGGCACTCACTCATCTAGGCAAAGAAATTTGGAAGACAACTATGTGGCCAACTGACTGGAAGAGGTCCATATGTGTGCCCATTACAAAAAGAGGTGACCCAACGGAATGCAGAAATCACCAGATAGTATCTCTGATATCCCATGAGAGTAAAATTTTACTAAAGGTAATACAGATACAGCTGCAAGCATACATTGACAGAGAACTTCCAGAGGTTCAAGCCAGATTCAGAAAAGGACATGGAAAGAGGGAAATCATTGCTGATGTCAGATGGATCTTGACTGAAAGTAGAGAATATCAGAAAGGTGTTTACACCCGTGCTTTACTGACTACACAATGGTCTTCGATTGTGTGGATCATGATAAGCTTTGGACAACATTGCGAAGTATGAGTATTCCGGAAAACTTAATTGTGCTCATCAGGAACCTGTACGTGGACCAAGAGACAGTTGTTCCAACAGAACATGGGAACACTGAATGGTTTCAAATTAGGGAAGGTGTGCAACAGGGTAGTAATTCTTTCACCATACTTATTCAACCTGTGTGCTGAGCACATAATCTGAGAAAGTGGGTTCTATGAAGAAAAATATGCCATCAGGATTACAGGAAGTCTTCAACAACCTGCAATATTCAGGTGATACAACCTTTGCTTGCTGAAAGTGAAGCAGACTTAAAATACTTACGGATGAAGATCAAAGACCACAACCTTCGGTACTGACTGCATCTCAATATAAAGAAAACAAAAAGGCTCACCACTGGACCAATAAACAACATTCTTAACAATGCAGAAAAGACTGAAGTTGTTAAAGACTTTATTTTTCTTGAATCAACCATCAGCACTCATGGAAGTAGCAGTCAAGAGATCAAACGACATATTGCATTAGGCAAATCTGTTGCACAAGACCTTTTTAAAGTGTTGAAGAGCAAAGATGTCAGCTTGAGAACTAAGGTGCGCCTGACCCAAACCATGGTATTTTCAATAACCTTGTATGCATGTGAAAGCTGGACAGTGAATAAGGAAAATCATAGAAGAATTGATGCATTTGAGTTATGGCACTGGAGAAGAATACTGAAAGCACCACAGGCTCAACAGACAGATCTGTGTTGAAGCAGCCATAGTGCTCCTTGGAGGCCAGGATGGCCAGACTTAGTCTCTCATACTTTGGACACATTGCCAGGAAGGACCAGTCACTGGCTAGGGACATCATATTTGGTAAGGTGGAGGGTCAGAGAAAAAGAAGAAGACTCCTACTAGTGAGATGGATTGGAAAAGTGGCTCAAGCATAGCAACAATTATGAGATTGGCCCAGGACTGGGCAGTGTTTTGTTCTCTTGTGCATAGGGTCGCTGAGTCGGTACTGACTTGATGGCACCTAACAACAACAACATAGTAAAACATGCATCCCTTGGTGGCACACATGATTAAGCAGATGACTATTAGCCAAAAAGGTTAGTGGTTTGAATGCATGCAGACCTGCCTTTAAGACAGACTTAGTAACCCTATGAAGCACTTCTACTTGACACAACTAGAGTCACCATGAGCCAGAATTAACTCACCAAGAACTAAGACAACAACAGTAACATAAAGGAATGTAGGAAGAAACAGAAGAGAAAAAAGGAAATACAAGTCAAGGAAAAGCACAGAGAGGTAAACAGAAATCCAAATAATATATTATCATTACAAAGACTTGGATTACCGGGAATGGCAGGATAAGAGAAGGTCAAGTTCAAGGTAATGAAGCAAAGCATGGGTTAAAATAATGATTAGTCTTGTACCATTAACAGTTTTAAGCCAGGAAGAATTTACAGTAAAACACTAAAATTTAATGTTAAGAAAAAGTTATTTCATCCCCTTGAGCTCTTTCATACACAAACTGTTATTTTCTTGTTAATTAACTTTTTGTGACCCTTTTTTACTCTGTTGTCCTGTTTTTTCAAACATGGCACTGAAGGATAAAGCACTGGATTGAACTGCAATATTGGCGGTTCAAACTCACTAGTTAATTCTCTGAAACCATATAGAACAAGTTAGAACTGACTTGACACTTACCAACAATAAAAATAACAATCCATCAAGTAATCCTCACAACTGGACCAATAAATAACATCATGATTTATAAATAACAATCCATCAAGTAA